GAGGAAGCATGGGATGTCCCCAATCATATTAGATGAAATACCATAATTATTCATCTAATCATCCAAGATGATCCCTAATATCATACTGGACGATCAGTACAAATTTGAACTGATCATATTGGACTATCCGTCGATCATCCAGGACTATCAAATCAAATTCTAGATATCATACATGATGATCCTACAATCATACTGGATGATATTTGCCGATAGAATTGAGCTTCTAGGATTTTTTAAATTTTGCATATCTTATTGGATGATCTTTGCCGCCAAAATTAAATTTCTAAGGTTTTTGTTGCAAATCTATTTTCATGACCTATGTTTTGATGATTGACAAACACTATTGATTCTCTTGGACTGTCTGTTACTTCTAACTTTTAAGGAATCGAAGATCGGACAAACAAACGAAGCTAGTTCAAGATTGCGTAGGTTTAGGGTTGAGTCAGTCTGTACTTTGTTTTTTCTCTTCTTGAGTCTATTTGTAATGTTCAAAGAGACTGATGCTAAGTAACCCTACACACACACACTTGAGAGACTTAGAATTTCTATTTTTACTCATATCGGCCAGGATGATATTTACATCGTCCTGGACGATCAGGCTTAAAACAGAAAGTCTAAATAAGGATTCTTAATTAAGGCATCCATCATTAATAGATCGTCCTGGACGATACGTGTATCAGCTAGGACGATAAGCTCAAAACAGAAAGAAGTTGCCGCCATAGACAATTAAGGTATACTATATTTTTTAATAATCGGCTAGGACGATCATTGATCGGTATGGATGATATTCATAAATTATGCCTTAATTGATCAGGAAATCAAGGGAGTAATTAAGGATGATTGATATAATCATATCATCCTGGACGATCGCAGGATCAGCCAGGATGATCTACTCAAAAACCTTGGTTACTTCAGGACGATAAATATCGGCAAACTCATATCCATGGCTATTCTCAGGACGATTTTTCTCTAATTAGAACTGATCGTCCAGCCCCCTCTTGGTTAGCTTGGGCCAGTTTTATAGGGCTTAACATCCCTAACGAACTTTCAATTTTTAAAGACCTTTTTTATGATTTCTCCAAATACATTGTAAATGCCTTTAGTATGCATTGAGTCTTCATTCTTTTAGAGAAAACTTGAAGAGAGAACATTGAAAGGGAGAGAGGAAATGGTTGAGTTTGAAAGAAAAAAGATCCTTGTGGGTTTCAAGGGAGTGTAGAGGGGATTTCACATGGTTGCTTTGGCAAGCTTGCATCTTAGTGCCATCAAATTCAAGATTTATCTTGAGCGAAGTTTCAGGAGAAAGAAGATCTCTTTGGTGTCAAAGGACCCGACTACTCCGCTGCACCAAAGAAGGTGAAAGGGATTCGTGGTTCTCTTCCATCTCTTGGAGTGAGAAAAAGGACTCAAGATTCTTTTCCTATAAAAGGAGTTTTGGTCCTCTACTGCACTCGGTTGGTGGAAGAGATTTTATAAGGGCTTCTTCACCTAGTTATGGGGAGCTAAAGATTTAGTGGCATACTTGGAACAAGACGTTATGAGGAGTGGATGTAGGTCAGGTTGACTAAACCACTATAAAATCTGGTGTGTTTTTTTGTTTTTATTTTTTTTCTACACTTTATTTTTTGTATTTATTTTTGTATTAATTGTGTGGTTGAAAATCTCTGATTTTTTATTATTGTGAAATTACTTTGCTTCCGCATCAAGAGATAAAACTATAAATTTTCATATGCTAAAAAATTTTTAAAAGGGGGATTTTCTTTTTGTTTAAAGAAGTTTTTAAATCACGAATTCAACACCCCCCCCCTCCCTCTTAGTTAGTCTCGAGCTAGTTTTATAAAGGGTTCACAATCCTCACAAACTTTTAACTTTAATATAAAAAAAAAAAACACCAACCTGAAATTCCACCAGCTTGTGTTCCTAATCATAATACTTCTTATGTCTATCCTATAGAGCTCTTAATTTTTCTCTGATTAACTGAATTTTTATTGTAGTGTCATCCACAAAAGTTGATCCTATCACCTATCTGTCACCCACTTCTGTCAAAGATAAAGGTGTCATGCACTTCCTACCATACAGGGCTTCATAAAGATCCATGCCAATGCTGGAAAGATAATTGTTATTATATGCAAACTCTATCAGTGGGACATGATCCTCTCAACTGCCTCCAAAGTCCAAAACAAAGAGTCTCAAAAGATCTTGCAATACCTGAATAGTCCTTTTAGATTGTTCATCTATCTACAAATGAAAAGCTTTACTAAAATTCAATTTTGTACTGAGACCCTACTGAATGCCTCTCCATAATCTAGAGGTAAACCATTCATCACGATTGGATATAATCACCTTCGGCACACCATATATTTTGATCAATTTGTTAGATCGGAATAAAATATGCTGACTTCTTCAAACGATCAACAACAACCCAAATGGCATAATGTTCCTGCCTCGATCTAGAAAACCAATAGTAAATTCCATCGTCGCCTTTTCTCATTTCCACTCAGGGATATGTAATGACTGCAGAAGAGCACTTAGTCATTAATGCTCTGCCTTTACTAACTAATAAGCCTCACACTTCAAAACAAACTCGCCTATATCTTTCTTCAATCTAGAACGCCAAAATATACATTTTAAATATCCATACATTTTGCTACTTGCTAGATGAATGATATAACCCGAGTAATGTGCCTCATGTAGGATTTCAACTTTTAGATCACCAACATAAGGAACCCATAATATATCATTATAGAAAATGACTCCAAAATCAAATAAAGAGAGTTCATGTCTCTTACCAGCCTTAGTATACTCACTAAACTTCAAATACTCTATATCTAATTTTTTAGCTTCTTGAATTCTTTCCTGTAGAGTAGGCTAAATAATCATTTGAGCTAATAATTTTGGATTTGTATCAACATATAACACCTTTATCTTCAATTTCTCTAAATCATGAATAAGAAAGTCTACAGAAGTAAGCAAATAAATAGAAGTACCTGAATATAATTAGGGGCACTACTTCTATAGGTTTAGTGCTTCCTTCCCTTATTTATGCTTTATATGTTAATGTTGGTGTTAGGGGAGATGAGTTTAAGGTGCAATTTTTTCCCATCTCTGCTCTGGTTAAATAAAATCTTAAGTTTTAAGTAAGCAATAGGAGGTGAAGAGGGAGGGCCTAGTGAACCCTAGTGATAAACTTCTTACTTCTTTTTTTACTTTATTCTTCTATGAGTAAACATAATATGAAATTTCTTGTTATTTATTCCATATCTTGCTATATCTTCTATTTTGGGTTTATAATATAAAGAGCATATTAAGTACTAATGTAGACTCTTATTTAATAAAAATAATGATGTTTTCAATATCTCTCCTTCTAAATTTAATGCATACAATAATCATGTATGTAATTAAAATCTAGTGTGACATATAATCTCGATGGAGAAATGCAAGAACAATAAGGAATATTGAAATGAAATATTTGCATGCTTAAACATATGATGCTTGAATATTCTAGGTTCTATGGTGATAGTAAAATTGTAAAAAGTCAAACAATCTTTTTTTTTTTTCACTCCTACAAGCTCAATAGAGATCTAGATATGTATATTCTTTAATCCATATCATCACTTAAGAGTGTGATTAGAAAATATATATTGTTTACATATATCATTCTAAAATATTTTATCAAAATTGTATCAACTTTATTACTTACTTTCATTATGTAGAAGAAACTCAAAAATCTTATTTTCATTTCAGTAGAATAAATTCATGTATTTATAGTAGCAATAGTAATTTTATTGCAATATAGTATATTACTTCTATTTATATTTGACACTCTAGTTTATCACTATATAACTTAATTTAGCATTTATACTTATGTAAATTAGTGGGCTATTTTAAATTTTATATAAAAAAGCTTAATCATATTTCAAATCAAACAAATTTTATATTAGCTCATTATTATCTTATCGCATCACACACCCCCATCTGAGAGACAGACCAATTTCTTGTCATAAATTCATTTATTTATTTTAGGGTTATTGAAATTACTTTTGATAGGCGTTAATAGCCTCATAAGTAAAAAATTTCTAATTCAGCTCAATGGATATGATCAATGTATGAGCAAACTATCTCTCACATACGTGAGATTGATGCTGGATTAAAAGTATAACAATTGTTACTTTTAATGCACAATTCCCTTAAACAGATCTCGAAATGTGCATTTATAAAAAAATTTATGAGAACTTCCTTTGATAGCTCATCCTGCAGCGCCTGTAGGATGAGCAGGCTCTACGCCTATAAGCATCCTCTTCCTGTGAAGCCTAATGCCAAAAAGCTTTCAAAGATGGACATTATTATGAAACATTAACAACAAGCCTTTGTCATATTATGTGTAGTCAGCTATATGAATTCTTTTTTTTTCTTTATTGTGTCTTGTTAAGAGGACATTGTTACAAAACTAACCAATAAAACTACAGGAAAAAAAAATGATAACCAGACAGGTTTGAACTTGCTCAAAATTCCCAAGTAAGAGGATGTCAAATTATCAATCAGCCAGGAAGGTACTTCGAGCTTGCCAAAAAGTTCAAATTTGTCTAAAATTGAAAAATAAAATAGATTTAGATTTCATTTGGGACAGCTTTCTTATTGTTTTCTAAAACAACTTTTTAATAAAAAAATTTTTATTTCAAAAAAAAAAAAATGTACTAAAAAGCTGCAATAGAAAGTAATAAGAAAGCTATTCCAAACAAAATCTTAGTTCAATGATAACCACATTTCCATGTATTTATTAGGAGGGAGAGAGAGAAGCCAAAAACTTTCTTCATTAATTCGCATAATCTGAATTCTACCTAAGGGTGAGTATTTATAGACTACAAAGACTACCGACTCGTTAAAACTGATAACAATAATAACCTATTAAGCCTATCCATTTAAGATCCACAACAACAAATTGACTCATCCAACTCCACCCCACACTTACTCCCAAACAGAGATCCTTTAAACAGTAGATGTGAGCAATTGAAGATCCATTTTATCAAATTTGTATTACCATTTAGTTCAAAAACAACAAAAAAAATAAAAATTTTATGTCAAAAGGAAAATAAACAGAAACACACATCCACACTAAGTATCATACACGATTAAACATGAGATGCATATGGCTGTCTAGTACCAACAAAAGCCCGCACATTTCAGCATCGATATTTATTGCATCTTCTTATCCTGTTTCCCATGAAAATTGAGTACAAAGATGAATCTTTTGGGGATTTAATCATTCCTTGATTTTGTCATTCTTTCCCAACTTGAAAAAAGTAGTCTAAGCAGCGAGTAGAGAATAGTTGTTATACACGCTTTGATAAGGTTCCAGCATGTGGAGGGCCAATACCAGGGATAAAGCAGTCTAAAGAAGAAGCTGATGATGTGCCTTGGATATTGCCCAACCTGTGTAAATACAAGAGAATTGTAAAAAATAACAACAAAAACAACAACAATAACAACATCAAGCCTTTATCCCACCATGCGGTTGGCTACATGAATCATTTTTTCTCCATTGAGAGAATGTTAAGAGTCAAATTCTCATTTAAATCTAATAAAGAAAGATTATTTCTAATATTTTCTAACCATAGCGCAAAAAACACCTGCGGATATATACTTCATAGATTGCCAACAGCTATCAATTTCATGTGAAAATAATGGAGAATCTACTAAGGCAGAGTAACTTTCTTTCATTACTTAAGTACTAATGCCAACAAGGTCTTTTAGGTTGTTTTATTATGCAACCTACCAAAATAGCAGTAGGTGATCGCCAGACAGACACCCAGCAATAAATTAATCTGTTGTCTTGGAAATCTGGAGAGAGTCATGCAAGCCCTGGTAAATTCCCAAAGATTATCCATTATATTATTCATATAAATTTGATAATATGATACAACCCTATTGATAGGATTGTGATAAATGTTAAATTGGAGGATGCCTACAACTCTAGAAATTAGGAGGAAAGAAGAAGAGATCAGAATATTTCATTCATTCATGCCCTAATAACCTTAAGAAGCGCCTCCTAACGACTCCCTTTGACTCAATAACTACCAATAAAACCTAAAACAAACTACCTATCACAGTTATTTACCTACTGGCCGATATTAGAGATTCATATCAGAATATTTCATCTTTGAAAACTTCATTGAATCGTCGCATGCATTACATTTTCCTTTCATTTCACCTCTTTAACTACATTCAATTGTCGAAGTGATTTGTTATTCTTGTGCAGCACGTGTAAAATGGTGTATCGCCCTCTGTTTCCCACTAAAAAATTTTGAAAAAACCTTTGAATGCTGGCTCATGTTCTGCACCATTATAAGGCATGATGTATCATTTCCAATATCCACTTAATATCAGTTAATAGGTTTCATATGTTTTCTAAATTCCAATTTAGCCTCTAAAATTTAATAAATTAACACTAATCCGCTGGTGAAGTTGAAAGAGCCAGCATCTGATATGCTTCGTATGAGCATCAGTACTATGCTTTTATAAAGCCTCACCTAATAGGCTAATAGTAAAAACCTAGAATTGTAGAACAACCATTATTTCAGCGAAGACAAGGATATGATTTAGTTTGAATTGAATATTAATTGAGGCTGTGATTTGAGGTCAAGGACTTAGCTCTCTGGTGTTAGAGTGGCCCGGAAGTGCGATACTTAAAACTTCAAAATCAGAAAGGCCTGTGAGAGCTTAGTTAAGGGAAGCCCAGCAATTATAGCTTTAGTTTGATTTAATTTGAAATCTAATATTAATTGAGGCCTTGATTTGAGAGCCAGAACTTAGAACTTGGCTCTCTGATATAGAATATCTCGTAAGGGTGAGACTTATGAGTTAGAACAATGAGCCAGAAACTTCTGTGAGAGTACAGGGTCAAGACTTGAATGGAATATTTTAGAATTGATTTGATTTAACTGCATTGAACTTGGGGTGGGTCCTTTCAACTTATGCCCGTCAAAGAGACCACACTCATGACTAGAGATTGATAGGCATGTCTAACTTGAGTCAAGTGATACATGGAAAATAAGGCTAGGCAACTTAGACCTTGGACTATTTCAGATAAAATATGAGATCATATTGAACCAAATTGTCCCACCAGTACTAAAATATTTTCGAAGGAGTTAATGAAATTTACTAGCACGGACACATAAGTGGAGAAGGAAATATTTATATTGAATGTAGACTGCATATGTCCTTATAAAGTTTATCGGCTACTTTAACCTTTTGAAGGCCAACAAATAGATCCCAATAGGTACAGAGTAAGTCTATAGTATGTCATACATATTAGCATTGATCAATTATGAGGTTTAAAAATTTCAGCATATGAGCTATGATATTTTTATAGCGCTTGGCCTATCTCAGCATCTGAACCTAACCAACATAAAGTTTTTATGTCGCTGACCATATGAGGGGGGGTTTTGATATCCCAAATCCTTATTGGGAGGAATTCAAGACACGGATCTCTATGGGGATATATTTGGTTCGCTTGATTGGATTAGTTTTGCAGAAATCAGACTACTACGAGAAGAATTTTTGCATCCCAAACCTCGGGATAATTTTGAACTTGTTTGCCCAAAATTTACTAGAACTAGATGTGCAGATCTTTATCACCCATACTTTCTAGAATGTCTAAATTTTGCTCAAGACCAAGTCTCTACGATAATTTAAATTTGATTACCAATTTTGTTGGGACTAGGTCGTCCTAATCAAAATAGCTATAGGGTGGCTAAATTTCTCTCAAGATTAGGCCTTTGTTATTAGAGTTCTCCAAGTTGCCTGCCTTTTCTCAAGACTAGATCATTTTCATCTAGAGTTCTCTACAATACCTGAATTTTGCTCAGCACTGAGTTTTTTTATCTACAGTTCTCTGAGGTAATTTTTGAATTTGATTGCCTAATTTTATTGGGAATAGGTAGCTTAGTCTTCTTTGGGATGCCTACAATTTGCTCAATATTAGGATTTTTGTCAAGTTGACTTCTTGTAGGTGCCTAAATTCAGCACAATACTTGATTTTTGTCATTCAGACTTCTCTTATCATAATTGATTAACTCCATGCCTAAAAGGTGAAACTTTACGGGATATTCAATCTACAATTTTTTTCTTTTTTTTGAACTTATGTATAAAATATTCAATCTACAATATGCATTGTAAATGTTTCAACTTACGCACTTTATTGCACTTCATTCCTTCTTACGTACATAGATTAATTATATCAATTATTGTTGATTAGGATTGGTACAAGATTTAGACAACTATAACTAAAACTAATTGCGTTCCTATTATCCATTCTCTAAACTTTATTTACTCATTTTACGCCCCTAAATATCATAAATAACCATCTATGAAAGCATGAACAAACAACAAGCTTAATTGACACTAGGATCATTCATACAAAGTAATTAAAGGGAAAAAAACATAATACACTATATCAAGGAAATGGTGAATATATCACATCTTTAAAAGCAGAAGAACTCCTTACAAGGATATGACGAAAGTAGGAGAAAGGTTACTCACAGGAAATAGAAGATCCAATGAACCCCAGGCTGCATGGCGAACAGCTCGTGTAGGATACATAGGCCCTCCAGGAGAAGTGAAACTATAGAGACAGGCCTTCAATCTCGTACTAGTAGTCATCCTCAATTCAAGACCTCAAGGACACATACGTAACTTATTAAATTATATGCAAGCAAGCTCCAGCTCAGTAGTAAGTAACGCTATTATAGTTACCTTGGAGGGCTCTCAAACTGGAGAGGTAATGTAGAAGTACTGGCTCCACCTTCAGCTTTTGAAGCTGGAAAGAACATGATAGGGAAAGAAAGATCATCCATGTAAAAAATGTGGCAAATACTGTACACTCGGTATAGCATTCATAATGACGATACCTGATCAGTAAGCTCAATCACAAAAACATCAACAGGACCCCCAATCAAAAAGGTATTTGTAAAGATAGGAAAATGCTTCAAGAATCTTTCAAGCATGTGATCTACATCATGAAAAGATATTAACAAAGCGTTCACAACATAAAATACAACAAACAAAAAATTAGCATATTGGAAAACAAATGAAACATACCAAAGTTGTAAAAAAATAAAAATTTGGAAAGAAGATGAAACAGATCTCGACGAGCCTACAAAAGTGATAAATGGAAGTAAGTTGTCATTTCCTTGTGCAGTTGACAGAAAAGGCAAATGGTACCTGCAACGATATTTTTTCCAGGCGAGTAGGTACTAGAGCAACATCTTCCAGAAGATACTGTTTTTGCCAAAGAAAAAAATGCTATCAGACAAGGAAATCTATATATAGAGGATAGGGGTTGTTGAAGATAGAAAACAGGACAAGCATCTCACACGAAACAGAGATAAAAAACGTCTTGAATTTGTTTGGATGTCAATCCTGCCAAAGATAAGCAAACAAAATGAACTGGATCAGATTAACATTGTAATAGAGGAAACAAAACTAAAACTAAAAGATACAAACCCAAATAATAAATTGAGTAGAATGTCCAACGAAAAGAAGAAATTAAAAAATAATAAACCGAATAGAACAATAGGCAAGAGGAACTATTCATACTTTTTAAAGTGTGACAAGAAACACAAGTTTAATTTTGATAGAAAGAAAAAAAGAGAACATGAAGTCAAAGAACACAAATATGCTTTTCATAACCCCCGAGGCATTTAAATAACCTTAAATGATGGAATGGCATAATAAATAACCATCTACGAAAGCATCAACAAAAAAACAAGCTGAATTGACACTAGGATCTTTCATAGAAAGTACTTAAAGGGAAAAAAACAGAATACACCATATCAAGGAAATGGTGAATATATCACATCTTTAAAGATAGAACTCCTTACAAGGATATGATGAAAGTAGTAGTTTTGCATTCATAATCATTAGACTAGACGTCCTACAACAAATTGATATCAGAGCTAATGGTTTTTATTATTAATTATTATTATTTATTTTAACATTAGATATAGTTTTGCATTCATAGTTTTGCACCCATTTGATTCCATAAGATTTAAATGTGCTAAATCAAAACTATAGGGTCGTGCTTTATCGTTTTGGTGATTACTATAAGTGAAACTAAATCTGTACGGGTTGACCTAAACACAAACTTAAGGCGCAATATTTGTACTTAGAGAGTATATGGATTAATTGCATGAACACTTTCAGAATTATAAGCAAGATGAGCATGGTGTGTGCGAAATTATGATAGTTTTACAAGTTTGATAACTAAAAATTATTTGCTTTGATAATATTTTATTACCATTAATTATTTTATAAAAGATTTTAGAATAGAGATTAACAATGAATTAAGCTATAAAGAAACAACAATATCATCTAAGATTTTATCTAGATACTTAATGTGGAGATACTAGAATTTGTTACGACTATCACACCAATAACTAAAATAACTAAAGAATAATCATTACCTTCTCCCCTTCAAGCATATCAACCTATACCAACGAGGGAAACATGCATAACTAAATCAAAGCTTATAAAAGAAACTAAAATTTATAAATATCATTTCAATAATGCATTAGTTATATAAGAAGATTTCCAACTACAATGAATCTATATCTCACTGTGTTGAATTTGAATCTATCTATATTTGAACATTATTATTTGCTTGAACCCAAACTTGAATAAGAGCTGCTATTTGAGTTAGGAATTGAATATAAACATGAGATCATACGTGAATTAGAATTTGAATATACCATTATGTCAAAATAATATCTGAAATTAAACCTCTAAAAAAAATTATGTCTAAAACTAAAAATGAAACTGAACCTATATTTGAAGAAGAGCTGGAATTTGAGCCTGAAATCAAATTTCTTTAAAGGATTAACCCCATATCTAAATTTCAACTAAACATTGGATTTGAAATTACAATTGAACTTAAGATCACAAATGAACTAAACTGCAAGTAGAACCTAAATCTAATATTGATTATGAATATGAGCTGCTATGTGAGTTGTATGTCGAGCCAAATAAATCATGCATATTGTAGTTGAAGAGTCAATTGCCAAACTGACAAAATGATTCCTAAAATGAAAGTAAGCATATAATTCCTTTTGAAGATGACAAATCAATTGAACAAGTTGAATTGACGACAACGACAACAACAACAACAACATCAAGCCTTTATTCAATATGTGGGGTCGGCTACATGAATCATTTTTCTCTATTTTGTCCCGTTAAGAGTCAAATTCTCATTTAAATCTAAGAAAGAAAAGTCATTTCTAATATTTTCCAACCAAGTATTTTTAGGTCTACATATATCTTTCTTAACATAAGTCAAATCTAATACATCTACTCTCCTAACCATGTCATCAGAAGGACACTGTTTTATGTAACCAAACTATCTAAGGCAACTCTCTCTAATCTTATCGGCCACTGGAGCTACACCAACCTTTTCGCGTATATGCTCATTTCGTATCCTGCCTATAAGACTAAAGCCACTCAACCATTTGAGCACCCTCATCTCTGCAACACTTAACTTAATATTACACTTTTCTTTTAGTGGCCAACAAACTGCACCATAAAGCACTGCAGGTCTCACATCCATCTTATAGAATTTTTCTTAAGTATGAGGGGTATTTTTATATCATACAAAAAGTCTGATGCATTCCTCCACTTCAACCATCCAACTTAAATTCTACAAATAATAACCCTATATACTTTACCATTATTCTGAATAATAGACCAAGATATCTAAAACGTGCACACTTATTAATGACTTGATCACCCAAAATTACAATCCAACACAAGATCAATTACTACCTTTATTGCACCGATACACTTATTGATTAAGGTGTGTTGTATCCGATACGTCGATACAGTGATACGACACTGATACATGTCGAATACGTCTTTGTCGTATCCAATTAAAATACTATTTAATTTCAAAAGGATACGTATATCCAATACGTGTGTCCGTTGAAAAATAAAAAAAAATCTGAAAAAAGGCGCATCTGTGGGCTCCGAAAATTCGGCCCCAGCCTCCCCGCCGCGCGATTGATTTGCTTTTATCTTTCGGCGAGGGAGTTTTAACTAAATAAGTTCCGAGGTAAATTTTGGAAGGCAGATGGGTTTGTAGATAAGACACTACCCAAAGATTTCGCCCTCATTTTGTGATGACTTTATGATCTGAGTTCTGGTTTCCTATAGGCGCAATCCCCTATAGTTAATTATCCCTCTCGATCACGAGAGAGAACTTTCGATTAAGGCTAGTCGTCAATCAGATACATAGAGATACGTGTTATCTGGCATATAGTAGCAACATGAATATGGAATTTGAGAACTGGATTTGGATTTGGAATTTGAAAGTTTGATATTTAAAATGAAAATTACACCATCTTACATTTAAAGCGGATGGTGGGGAATGGATGGATGGACCCCGATCAAGATCCCATGGGTTCCGTCGGTCCCGGCGCATCGTGGTCCCCTGGTCTAACTTAAGTCAGAGGAGGTAGTCGACCCAAGCTGATAGAAGAGATCCTTGTCGGCAGCCATGGGTTGCTTCGTCCAAGGGTACCTTGTATAACTCAGGGTGAATGTTTGTCTAAGGGGACAAATTGAATCCACCTTAGCTAACAGAAGGCTTTGTGCCCTATCGATCATATCCTATTGATTCATATCTCAAGGATTTGATGTCACTAAGAAGCGTATTGGCTCTGGCCATAACCGGTATTTCGTCGTGCGCAATTGGCGACAAAACACTCGTTCAGAGGACCCCGGGGTCATAACCGTTTATCCTGCGGTGCCATTTACCGCAAACCGACCTGTTTAGAGGACACGTACCACGTCCTTACTGGCAAAAAATTGTTTGAGAATGGATCCTAGTGATATTTTCGACTAGGCATTTGGCTCTTTGTGAGCTGAAGTTATGTTTGAATTTGTCCACCACGGCAAACTATTGCGGATGATTGATGGATTTTGCTTTAAGAGATTGATGGATCGAATTTTGATTTTAAATATCTGGAATTGGAATTTGTTGGGTTTTGGACTATTTGGGTGGAGATTTGGATTAAATGGACTTTTGAGAGACATTTGAAAAATGTCTGAAATTAACCCCTCTGGTTGAGATTTACATTCAACACGGCCATTATCAGGGTGTTTGGGGTCATTTCTCTTTTGTTGATTGAACCTTGTCAACACGGCCAAGCTGTTGGTCGAGGATCAGGCTTCTCGTAGGCTTCATGCCTTTGTTTATGAATTTTCTTTGATAAAGGCCTTGAAAGCCTGATATGAATGTATAAAATAAATATTCCGGTCAAATTCATGACCGCATATTTATCTGATGATTAGAACCCTGTCTACTCCTATTTATATGCCTAGGAGGATCGGGTTTCGTAGGCTTTATACCTTTATTAGTGAATTCATACTATTATAGACCTTGAAGACCTAATATGAATGTATTAAAATAAATACATCGGTTGCCACAACCGTATATTTGTTTGAAGGTTCGAACCTTGTCGACTCTTATAGATCGGCATAGAAGGATCGGGTTCGAACTTGAATTCACTTGTCAACCCGCGCAGCATCCCTAGACGTCACGTGTGTACTAATAACACGCTCGCCGGGGCCCATGCGGGTGTTTGGGAATTTCATTGATTTGACATACCCCTTTGTGTACCTGTGTATACAAGCTACGGTGCACATGCAGAGGTACTTTGAAATAATTGTAATTGTGCATATAACTATCATTTGGATGCACACAACTTTTCATTTGAGAACTTATACATACCTTCTGTCCGCTAGTACGAGTATTGCGGATCCGGTGGCGGTATGGTCTTGATGTTAGGAGGCATCTCCTCATCTTGATGTTGACTCCCCCTTTTCTCATTCACCGGGGAGGGTTTCTTCTAGACTTTGAAGTCAGTGACTGCTGCCTTGAAAAGAGCTCTTTTCATGATCTTTAGTATAGTGGACTTGTTATTTCTGATATTTGTGAACGCTAGAGCTATTCTCTTCCCAAGGATAGAACCAAAAGGAAACTTTGAAACACTAGGGAGTTTAGTTCTAATTTGTTTGAACATCTATTTCCTTCTTCCAGGAGGTGTCTTTTTCGTACATAGAGTCGCCCTTGTACCCAAGGCACTTGAAGATCTTGATCACCGTTGTCATAGGTGATATCTGCACTTGTGCCCACAGTGGTTCGTTGTACTTACAATACACTGTTGTTATCCACAAGTATTCACTTGGAGGGGACCGTTGTATTCACTACGATCTCTTAAAAGTGTTTGTAGAAGACCCATTGTTCTTACATCACACCCATCTTTTACAGATCTCAGGTGGTTGACGATTGCATTTGCTGCAGGGACAGATCCTCCATCATTGGTCTCCCGTATTGCCAACTCAATCAACAGGCATTTGTAAGGATTGTC